GCAGAGGTGCACATAGAAGTAACCCCTTCAATAATTTACTTTGAATAAAATTCTTGTGTGAAATTTAATTCAATACACTTTTGGTAGTGTTGACTGTATGGCTGGCTGTATAGTGTACAGGATGTTTTACGTTATGACTATTATAACTTTCAAAAAACTGGAGTAGGTATAATATCTTAGGGATCGTGTCCCTGAAGAACTGACATTGCGTCTTTCGATTTCGACGTTCTAACATTTTGTCTATTTAACTAGAAAAAACTGAACTTATATTAGTTATACTACTTACTATTATTAAATCTGTATATGTGACATCTTAGAAATTTGCAAATGTAATGTAATGATGTCTGCGTCACCCAAGAGTCAGACTGGTAGAAAATGCCTGCGGCATAAAGTCCACCCAAGTGCTTGTTTGTGTGCATAATTTTTTTTAAAAAAACCAATAATTAATTATGTAAAGGTATCCCTAATCATCTCACGCAATAGGGTAGATGCCTAATTTTTATTTTAATGTCCGTCTGGCAGATTATGTTTAAACATTAGACACGTATTTTTTATTTCCTTACAGAAACGAACGCTTTCGACGATATATTGATTTGAAATGTCGCGTGACGTCACTTCTATGTACATTTTATACGTAGAAATGACGTTTTAGCCCCACTCCTAAGTTTTGATTCATTTTATCTAAGTATTACTTTATTAGACGACAAAATAAAAAAATACGGACATATAATAAAATAATACCTTACGGACTAATTAGATTTTTAATTTTCATACCTAGTCATCATCCCTATTGGACCCTGTTAAGCAGAAAAGATCCAGCCCATTTATTTATTTTACATTTATTTTAATACTTTTGAGTAAATGAAGTTTAATGTTGGGCAGATAAACCTATTTAATAGGTACTGTATCATATGATTACTTTAAACTTAATTTACTCAAAAGTAATAAAATGCGGGCTGGATATTTTCTGCTGAACAGGGTCCAATTATTTAACCAAAACTAATAAACCGAAATCAGATAAGGTACTGTGTAACCAGCATCGCTTAAGTGTTAAAAGAAAAACAAAATCTAAAACACACTGTATAAAATTTCTGTTTCATTCAAATGAGATGGCAGCACCTACGTCGGGCAAACAGCTTCTCAAAGCCTTAACACTCTTGAATAAAATATGTATATTTTAGTGAATAGAGTTTAAAATTTAAACTACGGTTGAGTGGCTCTCATTTTATTTGAATAGATTTCATGAAAGAACGTAGATTTGTTGGCTTTTAGCGAGATTTTTATTAGTTGAGTAAAATTTTCGATGCCACAGCGTTTGGTGGTGTGATTTTGAGTTTACATGTTTTTTATACATTTATTTATTTTTATTTATCTTTTTAAAAAAAACGTTGCCCCACACTAGGATTTTCTCCTGTGTCGTGGGTGCGTTTACAAACATACAAGTTCACGTACACAATGACACTCAGACCCGAAACAACAATTTGTGGATCACACAAAGAGTTGTTCCGTGCGGGAATCGAACCCGCGACACGTTGCGCGGCAGCCAGTTGCCCAGCCACCGCGCCAACCGTGCAGTCAAGACATAATGTGTGTTGTTGATCTGAGGCTTTAATACGAATTTGTTTTACGTATAAAGTAGTCGTAACGAGTACGCGTTCGGCGCTGTGATTGGTTGCTTCATTGGTGCCGGCCAATCAGAGTGCTAAACGCATACTCGTTTCGAATACTTTAAACGTAAATCAAACTCGTACTAAGGCCTCTGATTGAATTTTAAATTAAATAAAAACAACAGTCTGTTTAGTTTTATGGTTTAAAATGTGACTTTCAAACGTAATTTCGAGTATTATACACAATTCTGTCGAATATTTTTGGGCGTTTATCCTGAATGCTGAAAGGCTACTCAATTTAAAGTTGTACTTAAATATCGTGCCATCTGTGTCATTTTACAAAGAATTTGTAGAGATAGAACTATTCTTAAGCGCGACTTAAAATTTGTTGACTTGAGTATTGTAGCGTAAGTTTTCTATTCATTGCCTCGTTGGCCGAGTACTCTCAAGTGCGACTACCGGGCAAGGGGTCTCGGGTTCGATTCCCGGGTCGGGCAACGTAATACTGGGTTTTTAAAAAAATCTCAGTGGTAGCACGGAGTCAGGAATTGTTCCCGGTATATGGCGATAGGCTCACCCCCTATTATATGGGACTCATAAATTTAAATAGTGAAAAGTGGGTGTTACATTGTACAATGGCATTAAGTGCCGTAATGTGCACCTCTGCCTACCTCTTCGGGGATAAAAGACGTGATGTTATATGTATGGGTTTTCTATTCACTCAGTGACTACTTAAAGTTTAATTGCTATTTGATTTCTAGTATCTAAATGTATTTTAAGTTTCTATAGATTTTTTTTATTCTGTGGTTTGTGCTATGGTGAAAATAGGATTATTCGCAATGAAAATAAATAACCTTGTCGTATTGATCAGCCGTTCCGTTCCGGACAAAATCATTACTTAAACAAGCGTTGCCTGTATTTACAAAATTAATCGATTCGGTTCCGATTTAATCGAGTATCATAATCGGATAAAGTGAAGCGAAATTGATTTCGTTGTAATTACAACACGAATTAATTACTGTTAGCCAAAATTACTAAAAATTGAGGTAAAAAGTGTAAACCAGGTTTTTTGACTAGGTTGAATAAGTGTTGTTCGAAATGTAAAATATTTGTTTGCTTCTTTGTTTGTGATACTTAATTACCTAAACGGCTGAACTAATTTTGTTAAATTCTAGCCAAAGAGACAGATCGAAGACTTACTACGGATAAGTATACTTTATTAGTGAATACGGATTTTTAACACTCAATTAATACAACCTTGCATAAATCTTTTTAAAGACCTGACAGACTGACATTGGAATATTTCACATTAGACGTATTACCGTCTGCGAAACACAATTGTTTGCTATTTATCTTGATATTACGGCATTCATAGGCAAATGCTTTTTTCTTTCAGTGTATATGGTATATTCTTGGTTTCTGAAAATTGAGCTATTTCTGAACATAGGTTATATTCCATATTCGTTGAAGAGACATATTATTCAATGATGTTTATAATGGCATAAGCCGGTAAACGAGCAGACCTCACCTGATGGTAAGCAATCGGCGTCGCACCTGGAACACCAGTGGCGTTACAAGTGTCACCGGCGTTACTGACCTTTTGGGGATTAGAAATTTGAGGATTGTTAGAGATTCAGGGATTGGGGAGATTGGGGAAGGGGAGGGGGATAATTGGGCCTCCGGTAACCCCACCCAACAACGGTGTTATAGGTTGTGAAGTTCTTAAGTTTTAAAATACCTAGGTACTTAGTTTATTTAGGTGGTCTTGCATTTGATCAAAGCTTCGGAATAGATAAAACTAAAACCAACTTTCTAAAAAGTACCTAAGTGCATAGAACCACCTTTGTTTTCTATTAAAATCTCATGTAGTATGTGCACCTCTGTCGTCTTCTTTAGGGATTAAAACCATTATGTTTTATTATTTCACGACCATACTAAAGGGGCGATCACAGCAGTCTTACATTATCATTTCAAATTTATTCAAACCGATAAGTTTATTCATTGGGAATCACTTTTCTAAGGTGAGACAAACTAATTGAATATCAAAGAGTTTGTACTTATTCATCGTCAGTCCGCCATCTTGGCTTGCGGGAATTAGACGAATGAGTTTGAATACTTTAGTCAGTCTATGCAACAAAATATTGTTTTTGATGCAAAATTGTTGATTTAGTATTCATAGTTTTGTGTTGGGATGGAATTAAAAGTGCAGGTTTAGTGTTGTTTTTAGTTGGTGTGATGCTGATGAATAATTGAATGAGTGGAATTTGTTTGTTGTTGTTTTATTTGAAGTGTATTGGAAAACATTGATTTGCTTGTACTTCAACGATACAAGAGCGATTAACTCGTCGAGTACCGGTTTTGTAGACACAATTATAGAACAATAGGTTGCGGTCACCGGTGACCGCTTGGTGTTTGACAGTTTAAAGAGGTATTGACTGACTTTTTAGGATGGTGTTGTTAGTTGTGTAGCATAACAATATTAGAAAGTTTTGATATCGGGTTGTCTTGGTGTTTAATCATCTTTTTCGACCGAAATCATTACGAAACTTAGACGACACGGTACGAATAGATTTCCTTAAGTATGTACTCTTAGTAGTCTTAGTTAGTACACATTTTCGTAATTAGCGTATGTTGGTATAATGTCATGCATAGAAAATCAAAGTAGGTACCTAAATATTAATATTTTATAAGGAGCCTCGGTCTTCCTGTAGGTAATCATGAAAGCGATTTTCTAAATCAACATATCAAAGGTTTTCCTCCAAGTTATATTCAAAGAAACCTTATGTTTTCTTAATTATGTAACGTTAGCTACAAATTGTAATTTACGAGGTTACATTATAAAAGTAAAAAATAAAAATATACTGTCATTTATTTTGTACGGTTTTTACGCGAGATTGTTAATGGACTCTGAAATAGTTTTATAGTAATCGTTAAAAACCAGTCGTCTGTGATTTTAATGTTTCGTTTTTCGTATTTTTTTTTTAGTCTACGGCTACAACGATGTTGTAAATGGTGTGTTTTACACCTTATTGCGTACATTTCTGTTGCATTTTGATTGTTACACGGATTGTGGTCGTTTTATTTTGTCTATGTTTTAATTATCTACTGTTTTCGAAATGTATTTTCCAATTTCATCATAGCAACCCTGAATAAAAATAACATTTCTCTGAACTATGTGTATTTATCTAGGTGTGTAATTCGAAACGTAATAAATTAAGTGTTGAAAAACGATTTCGACTTCAACTCGTTTAGTTAACGACGACCTGTCGTCTTTATTTTGACAGCGCTCCAAAATGTCCCCCATAACCAATCGCTAATTGCATTAGCTTCCCTAATTTTCCCCTGTCCACCTAACGATGACACGTCAACTGATACTTATTATTTATTTTCCAGCGTTCTAAATACGGCGGCGACGGCGCAAAGGCAAATTAAACTGTGAAAAAGATCAGACGGACATCATGGCGGCGGCGTTTGCGCGCCAAATCCCGCGTCACCCGCAGCGCCATCTGCGAGCAGCGGGCGACAACCACTTCCGTAGTTTGAATCATTCGGACCGTTCGAAATAGTCATTTGTGATTTAACTGTGACAGTGCGGGGTCGTAATGTGATATAATAATATTTAATTTTAGTGTTGTGTTGTGTTTGTGTGTTTACAATGTCTGAGGAGAGGTCGCGGCGGTTGTCGCAGATCTTCGACCCTCTGGCTCGTTTTACCGACCACAGCGGGGCTGGCCACTCTGCCAGTACTCCGAACAGTCCCCGACTGTTGCCAAGGAGGTCGCGAGATCCGCCACCCCCGCCACCTAGGTAAGCTTTTATATCTGTTCTCATTCAAATAAATTAACGTGCTCCTAATATCTAACAAAAAAAAAGAAAACTTCATTATGAGGGTAGTTACAAAAAAGTCATTGAACGTGACACGATAGGGTTGTCAGATTAGACTTTTTTATTCGTGACATAGACCATAACTGCATTATCACTTGTATTGCATTCCAAAATAAACAAATTCTGATAAACTGCTAAAATATGTGTAAGATAAGTGTTTCTTCAATAGATACTTTAGAATCGATTGGATATCTCTTGAGGCAACCCTTGCTATGACGAATTGATGACTAATGTTTATTTTCTGTCACCTGATTACGTTTGTTGAACTATTTCTGGCGCAGACACTCGTGCGCAGATTACACATACAAAAGGCTTTGTGCTTGTTATTTAAACTGTTTCACGTATAGTCGAAAATCCACTCTATTTGGTTTAATGTAAAGCTGGTTTTTGTATGTCTTTGTTGTCAGTAGGTAGTGAATGTTAATATTGGATAGTTTTTTTAATTGCCGACTGCTATTAAGACTATCTATTCATATATTCTGCTTAGCATAATAATAAGTTAATTTATATAGTTGCATAGTTACTTCATTACAAGTCCCCAATTATGTACGGATACTGAGAATATTGCCTGGCTCGTTGGCCGAGTGGTCATAAGTGCGACTGCCGGGCAAGGGGTCTCGGGTTCGATTCCCGGGTCGGGCGAATTATTATTGGGTTTTTTAATATTCTCAGTAGTAGCACGGAGTCTGGAATTGTGCCCGGTATATGGCAATAGGTTCACCCCCTATTACATGGGACTCATAACAGGGATTGTGAAAAGTGGGTGTTACATTGTGCAGTGGTATAATGTGCACCTCTGCCTACCCCTTCGGGGAGAAAAGGCGTGATGGTATGTTATGTTATGTTTACTGAGAATATCAAAAAAATAAAAAGTTATAAGTAATCTGAGAATTGAAGTTGACGGTTTTACGAATTGACGACGGCTAGACCGATTAGTCTTACATTTACAAATACTGAAAGCACTGTGACAGAATCATTATTCCACAGTTTCATTATAAATAAACGTATTTAATTTAATTCTTTTTAGAGCTGTAATAAAATGTTGTTTTTGTGTCAATGTCAACTAAAATTAATGAACAAAAACATGTTTTTAATATTGGAAGAAAGTCATAAAATATTGTTCTATAATATTAATAGGTTTAATAGTCTTTGACAGTGTTTAACAAACAAATTTAATTATTGTAGAATATAACGTCCATGGTGTTATTATGTTATGTTTTCAGAAACATAATGGTCCTTGATGTTTATCATAATTGCAGTTCCTGGATAGGGATAAAGAAAGACGTCTAGTATTTGTGCAGTTATTTTTGTCTATATATCTAAATACTTATTTTTTAACATGTAATTGTAATTCCAGATCCAATTAAAAACATAAACGTGAAATGAGAGCCCAGTTCAATCACTACATAGTATCAAACAAAGTCGCTATCCGCCGTCTGTCTGTCCCTATGTATGCTGAGATCTTTAAAACTACTTACGCAACGGATTTTGATGCGGTTTTTTTAATAGATAGAGTGATTCTTAAGGTAGGTTGATATGTATAATATACGGATAATGGACCCGTGCGAAACCGTGGCGGGTCGCTAGTATTATGATAAATACATTGGTTGTTGACTTCAACGATAGAAGAAGTGAGATCAAATGGGTGCCAAGTTCAATGGTCAGTCCTGAGATTTATTTATAAGTAACAGTATAACAATATATCATATCTTCTCGTAGCCTAAGGTCTGTCTTGGCTAGTTTTCATGTCTTCATATCTTTCATATCTTTATGTATTGTCCGCCGATACCGCGTGTCTACAAAATGCCTTGAGAAAGATGTCTGCCAGTGGTAGACCAGTAGACGTTGCACTATATATTTTTGTCTATATTTTGTACTAATTATGTATAGAGTTGAGTGTCTATCGCTATTGGATGCTTATCTGTATCTTCTGTCTTTCCGACTTCCAAAAATAGGCGGAGGTTCTCAATTCGACTGTATTTTTTTATGTTCCTTACTCGATTTCGTGAAGACGTCTGGACTAATTTCAAGAGTCGTGTCTCTATCGCTATTTGAATTGGTTCTCTTCTTCTATCTGTTATCTGTCACATAATCTGTTATACATATTGTCTGGACTTTAAAAGAGACAGACCTCTGAGTTTGTTTCGGCATTTCTTCTCAGAGTAGTCTGTTAGGAAATGTCGACCTCATCGTTCGCTTGATAAAATTGACGTGTAAAAGTGCTGCCTTGTAGCCTATTGGCAGAAATAAATTATCTTGTTTCACTTGTTTCTATTTAACTACCTTATTCGCCTATTACTTAAAAGGTGTAAATAATAGAAGATTAGAAGCTAAGTCTTTCGTCATACGAATTAAGATTATTCCTGTTAGTTTTTGCCAGTTTTAGGAACTAGTAAAGGGAAATGCTTGGCTACCACAAATATTGAAATACTTATAATATTCTTCTTCTTCTTATGGTGCCACTTCATTCCTGAAGGTTGGCCGTCAACTTTTTGAATTGGTCCTTGTCATTGGTCAGACGGAAAAGTTGTTCCACAGAGCTGATACCAGTCCACTCCCGAATAATGTGCAGACACGACTTTTTCCTTCGCCCAGCGCTTCTCTTCCCTTGTTCCCTTCCATCTTACCCATCTTGTAATATACTTGTAATATATTTGACACAATATTTGACCTGACCGTAATATACTAGTCAGGATAAATATAGTGTCTTGTTCATGTAATACTCAGATAATATATAGGTAATATCTGACTAAATTATTGAATAAATATTGACTTCATTAAAATAATTATAGTAAGTAAGTTTAATTAAACTTACTCCTCAGAATACTAGAGTTACAACATTATCAGTAAATAACCAGTACCTAATATTACTTTACCATACATTATTTTAATAATAAGTTATGCCTATGAAATAGGAAACTGCCTTAGATGGATATCGATGCCTATATTCTGGCTAGAAATAACTAATGCTCCTATCAATAGAATCGGCCATTTAATTAGTTATAGACCGGCCAGAGATACTGCACCTTTATGACATGAGCCTGCTGTTGGCAAAACGATTATTTTAGTTTCTAACCGACTTCTCAGAAAAGAGGAGGTTCTCTATTCATCTGAATGTTTAAAAAAGAACAAAACATCAGTAAGTGTATCCTGTACGTCACTGATTAACAGAGACAAATAAAAAACAGACATAGTCCTGTAAATATCTTTATTACAAGCTATTTTTTACCTTTAGCTTCACCTGTCCCGTTGCCTGTAATCAAACATTGGAAGCTATTTTACGATAAAGAGTGAAAGTTGCTTGTGCAACTGCCGCATAAGTGATTTCGGGTTCGATTCCTGAATCAGGCCAAGTATTATCAGGTATTTTTTGTAAATATTTCAGCACGCAGCCTGAAATTGTACGCAGGAGGTACAGTCAGCACCAAAAGTCGATGAACAGAATCAACATACATAACAAAACACCTGTTCACAATAAAATACCATAAGTTATAGGTATATGGTAATAGGCTTTCCCTATATTCCATGACACACATAACATTAAAGCGTTTCCATAAACTGTAGATTTGCCAAAGGTTTAAGATCTCTATTTTACTAAACGGATTAGCATATTTTAATCAGATAAATGATTAAAGCTATTGTAGGTATCCTACCTTCGCAACGTGGGCGTTAAAGGTATTAGATACTAAATTGCTAAACACGATCGGATGAAATCACATTTGTAATTGTAAGATAAGAATCGGTTTGTTAATTGTTACAGTAGCTTGGTGAATATAATTAATAGCTACCTCCGCGCGGTTTTACACGCTCCGCTCAGCTCCTATTGGTCGTAGCGTGATGTTTTATAGCCTAAAGCCATCCTCGATAAATGCGCTATCCAACACAAAAATAATTATTCAAATCAGACTTGAAGTTACGGAGATTAGCGCGTTCAAACAAACAAACAAGGAAACCAACTCTTCCACTTTATACAATAGTATTTTTTTATCTCGTCGAGTACCGTCAATATAGACACAATTATAGAACAATAGGTTGCGGTCACCGGTGACCGCTTGGTGTTTGACAGTTTAAGGGGGGAAAATCATCGAATGACATCTCCCGCCTGGGCGAGGCGGGAGGGAGTGTCAGACTCTTACTAACTAAAAACCACCCCGTTCCTTCTCCTGCCCGTCGAGCCGGAGCCCCGGTTACCCGTTAGGTTCGTCGCGACTCCGAATCGGCATCAGCGCTTTATATAATAGTATAAGATATAAGATTTCTGCATGTTAAACATTAATGCTTAATTCATTTCCATATTTTATTTAAGTGTTTGTCATAAAATTATATAAACTACCATGCCTCGATTGTGAAATATTAAAAGATTTATTAATATAACATCCGCTCAGTTAGTTGATTGGTTATAAGTGCACTGACAACCAATGGGACTTTCGTTTTTATTCCTGGGTTGTGCTAAGTCTTCGTGGGGCTTTTTCGTATATATAGTCTGTCAGTTAGTCCGTCAGTGAAGATAGGTGAAGCAAGGTGCTCATTGATGTAGATTCGAATGGAGAAGAACGAGCAAGAAACTCCATTCGTTACTCTTTTTAAAAAAGTATGTTCTACAATGTCTCTGATACATATTCCAATACTGTACGTATATGTGAGAACGATGCAAAGACACACTTGACGCATTAAACTAATTACAAAACTTACTAAAATAAAATAAGAAAACAAAAAAAATCTTATAGTCTAACATGGCGCTCACATATGCATACTGACAATCCTTACAAATACTGCTTCTGTACAAGAAAAAGGAAACTCTTTGTTTCAATAAAACTTTTCATGCTGTACCAAAGAATCGTTTACCAAATAATATATCTATCTTTATACCTATTTAGGTATATATAATTCTGCTGTACTTGTGTATGTCATTGAACTCCTCCTAAACGGCTTGACCGATTTAAATGTTTTATTCTGTATGCGTTTGTGTGGCGCCCTGGACGGTTTAGATTCACAAATCAGCCCGACAGATGGCGCTGCAGTCGGTATCTAGGTTATTTATCTATACCTATTATTATATTATTGTTATATTCAGGACAACATCTGTCGGGTCCTCTAGTAGTATATAGATATTCGAAAAATAGTGTTATTAGAGAAAGGTGTGGATTGAAAGATGATGTAGTGACAAGGATTGAAAAGGGAATGTTACGCTGGTTTGGACATGTAGAAAGGATGGATGAAAGTAGAGTAACGAAAGAAGTATACAGAGCGGATATGAATGGGACCGTCGGTAGAGGGCGCCCTAGACGGACATATAGTGACCAGATTGGCGATATATTAAAGAAGGGCCAAATTAAAAGTACCCTTAGCCGACGAGCATGCATGAAAAGATTGATGACTGTTAATGAAGCGAAAGAGGTATGTAAGAATCGTAGTAATTGGCGTTCTTTAGTCTCTACCTACCCCCATGGGAGACAGGCGTGAAGTTGTGTATGTATGTATATGTACAACAGTAACAAACAATTGGGCAAAACCAGTAAACATATCAATAAAGTGAATTCCATCAATTCAGTTGATCTCATTGGATAATCCGGCCCATTCCAACCCTAGCGTATAATCCATACAAATGTTATAATTATTGTGTAAACGTCTGTCTGTCCGCATGTCATTGTTTAAAAGCCTTATCAGTACTGAATAGCTTGACCAATTTCTATTAATACGAGGTAACAAGATATTTTACTTCACGATAGTCATGGTAGCTGTAGTATGCAAAGCTGAAGAAACTGTGAATAACCAGTTCAATTCTGGTCTCGATTCCAAAACTAGATTAGAAAAGTATTGTTTTATAACAATCAAAGATAGGGCTTAGAAAGAAAGACGTGCCATGGACTTATACCACTGGTAAATGTCCCACCTACACGCACGAAGCGCTTCGCATCAAGCTTCTTTGTGTGTACTCCTAAAGAGTGAAATTCTTTACCATAGTCTGTATAACCTGGGTGTCTTCAAAGTACGAGTGAATAGGTTGCTTATGGGATGACGAGCTCCATCGTAGACCGTATCATCGCTTAAGTACCACCAGGCGAGATAGTGGTCAAATATCGGCCTATCAAATATAAAAAAAAACCTTAACAGTCAAGATCATCAGGCAATTACTTATTATATTTATTAAAATTAAACTTATTAATTAGAATTATGTAGCTTGTATTTGGCCACCTTAGTATTTAAATACCTTGGTTAAACAAATAGTAACTGCAAAAAATTGTCACCCACGTCTTTGATTCTTGTGGACATCAAAATCCGTCCAAACAAGCGAGTGCTGATGTCCAAACTAGTCGTTCAATATTAATAATATCTCATTTGTTAGTATTAATCCTATGGAGCTCGTTCCCGGCCCGTTCAAGTATTTATAGTGGGGGCGAAATATTGTGCATTTAAATTAATGAGCCCTGTGGAATATTTATGACGCGCTCTGCACAATTTCGGGTGAAGATTGCTTACGTGAATCGCATTTGGAAATATTGGTTTGATATGACGTGTTTGTTGTTTTGTAGATCTTAGAAGAAGCTAAGTTATTAATAATTATACCTGTGCCTTTCTTATTATTGTAATCAAGTGATGAGAATACGCCCCATTAGCATTAAATAATTTAGTTAGTCGCACGAGGTTTACTTATTACAGGCTGTTGCCGGCGACTTGTTCCACGTAGAATATGAGTTGTAGGTCATATTTTATTTAGTTTCCATTCTTCAAAATAAAACTATGTACATTAACTACCTGCCAATAAAGGTCTTGGTCGTAAACGGTCCAGCCATTCCAGAGATTAGTTAGTACAAACAGACTGACAGACAGACGAAAATTGGAAAAATGTTATTTTAGTATATGTATCGTATAAGTATTCATATGTATGTAGTAGAAAGTGGTTATTTTAATATTACAAACCGACACTCCAATTTTATTTATTTGTATCTATAGAAACAAAAACATCCATCTTCGGTTTGGTCTGTAAAACAAGTCACATTAAAGTTCTAAGTAAGAGAATCTAAGTTAAAATCTAATCACTGGCAGTTAGTCATTCTAATGGCAAATACTAACATTTTACTCTTAAAAACTATTGTAGTTGTCCCAGCGCTCGATAGATGGCGTTGGGATCGAGTTAGATGGCGCTATGGTTTCGTTACCGGGATTTATATAGGGTACGCATAAATATTTTGTACAGTGTGAGCAGCAAGCATTGTAATTGATTTATTATACGCGATTAGTATTTCAGTACAGTGTATTATTGCATCCACCCTCTCCAAGTCGACCTTTGTTCAACTATACTATGCTATCCTTGTCTCTAAGTTACAATATTAGCCTTAAGTTTATCTAACCCATCCTATTTCCTCCAGGCCTATAGCCCATACCTCTCGCCTGGACCCGCTGGAGTATGAGCTGGCGGCAGCAGAAGTTGGCTCCATCAACTGGCAGGAGCGATGCTTGGAGTTGCAGCTGGAGCTTCACCGCAGCAGGCACCAGGCTACCAGGGTCAGAGATATGCTGAGAGATAAGGTAGGATTAATATTTTAATGTGGATTTTATTCTGAAGTGGTTGAAAGTTTACGTTAAAGTCATGTTTTCGAGTTAGTACTTTTAATATGTTGAAGCATAGTTATTTTTTAACTAGCTACTTGCGCGCGGTAACACACGCTCTGCTCAGCTCCTATTGGTCTTATCGTATGTTTTATAACCTACTAGCTTTTACCCACGGCTTCGCTCGCGTCACAAAAGGAAAAAAAGTAGCCTGTGACATAATAATATACTAATACACACAGCGGCATCTATACCAATACTTTTGTTTTCCCTCGGGAATATCAATTTTTTCCGGGATAAAAAGTACTCTATTATTTAATCCGGACTTCTAACTTTACATCTGCAAAAAGTCAAAGCAATTGATTTAGTAGTTACGGCGTGAAAGCGGAACAAACAAACAAACTCACTTTCCGATTTATAATATTAGTAAGGATAGCCATCCTCGATAAATGCGTTATCCAACACAAAAAGAATTATTCAAATCAGACTTGTAGTTATGGAGATTAGCGCGTTCAAACAAACAAACAAAAAAACGAACTCTTCCGCTCTATATAAAGCGGAAGAGTTTCAAACTATTATAATAGTATAAGATACTAAACTGATTTTAGTCAATAAAACAATGTTTGAAGTTTCGAAGACCATATCATGTGAGACTCTTCTAATTTATCTTTCTAGACCATGAAATCTTTCAAAACATAAAACAATTCTTGTTACACTTCCATTCTCTAATCGACATACCATCGTTCGGCAATTACTCATAAATTAGACCGCCTATATTAAATCTCTATTCACGACAAATTGGCGATATCACCAATATATTCTAATTACCGTCCGTAATTAATATCGCGTTAACAAGGAGATATCGATGACGTCATAGCCGTGACGTCGACGCGTGTCGTCATACGTCACAATTAGGTGGTACACGTATCTTATGGTGACGTAGTCAGGTATGCGGACATGCGTTTGAGTTATGGTAACATTGATATTAAAATGTTGTCTACATTGCTCTAATGAATGATGATTAGTTAGATAGGTAATATTTTGTTTTTCTTAAAACCACTCTATTTACCTAATAATAAGGATACCTTTTTGGTACCCAGTGATAAATCACAGCTAAAATCGTGTAGGTACATGAACTCACGCTTTTCTTTCATTAAGTTACGCAGACTATAATGTTCACATTTGGATACATGCATTGTATCAGAGACGGCAAGACGAATATTTGGATAGACTTATTGTCTTATTCACTAATATTAATAATAACACACATATAACATAACATCACGTCTTTTAGAGAGAGAGAGAGAGAGAGAGAAAGAGAGAGAGAGAGAGAGAGAGAGAGAGAGAGAGCATACATTACGGCACTTAATGCCACTGTACAATGTAACACCCACTTTTCACTATTTATTTTATGTTAAGAGTCCCATGTAATAGGTAATGAGCCTATTGCCATACACCGGGCACAATTCCTGACTCCGTACTACTATTGAGAATTTTTAAAAAATCCCAGTAATATTTTGCTCGACCCGGGAATCGAACTCGACCAATGCGGCAGTGTGCTTCAACATTTACTGCACTTGCACCTAGGATGACTGCAACGAAACTATTATAATTTTTGCATTTAAGACTAAAATATAGCGACAAATAGCGTAAGAAAAGTACCAGGCTCCCATAATACAGTAGGTAGAAGTTGGCCCGTCATCTGTTCTTTATAGCCCACAGATTTAATTTGGTACGACGTTTCTCACAATCCCCTTGGCTTTTTCTTCTGCTGACTGTCCTATGGAGTTTATGATAAATGGCTGATACATTTTTCATTGGTGTTTTTTGTAGTTTTTTTTTGTTTTGGATGATGTAGATGGTGTTGGGTTCTTACCTGATTCTTTTATGAGTTCTAGATAATAAGGTAGTGAAGATTTTCTTTATGTTCGTTTTTTAATAGTCATGTTCTAGGATACTTAAATTAATTGTTATAAATCTTTGATTGCATGGTTGGAGCGGTGGCTGGGCAACCGGCTGCCGTGCGGGTTCGATTCCCACACGGAACAACATTTTGTGTGATCCACAACATTTTGTGTGATCCACAAATTGTTGTTTCGAATCTGGGTGGCATGTGTATGTGAACATGTATGTTTGTAAACGCACCCACGATACAGGAGAAAATCCTAGTGTAGGACAGATTTTTTTTAAAAAAAAAACAGCGTTTTATATGCGGTACCAAAGTTGTATAGATTTAATAGTATTAATTAGTTATACGAGCTTTCATATTAGTCTATTATAATAATGAAAAACAATTTTAAACAATATTAAAATTATTAGATATATTTTAAATTGAAGTTCTAAATGCGAAAATTTCAACGCAGATCAATTAATCTTCATCCTATATAAGGCTCCACTATACACGGACAAGATAATCAAATGCAAAATAGACCTCTTCAAAATCACATCGATACTCTAAACAATCCATAGACAATCTGAATCACCAATCTTACACATATACCCCAGTAAATGCCAAGCACACATCAGTCCAGTGACTTGTGAACAGTCCTTCATACGTCACTGGCCATGCTATGAAATGCCATAAAATCAGTCGCCTATGTATACTGATACCGACACTGATGTGAAGCAAGGGGGATTTACATCGATGGTGATGTGTATAGGAGTATTATATCGCTGTTAAATTTTCTAGGGATGTGTGTAGATAAAAGGTGTTTTGGTACCTATATAAAACTTTTTGTAAAATTAATTTTAATTTTGATTGGTTCAAATTGAGAATCGATAACTGAGTTACCTCCTCGAGTATGTCACAGTTTCAAAACTACACAATGTATAGTATTTTATAGTAGCCACTATCCTGTAGTCGTACATCTAACAGTTTACTTTATAGTCAGTGATCACCGTAGCCCAAGTACACACGAAAGACTAGGGATGTTGTAAGAATTGCGTTGCGAATCATGTATGAAACCGCAAGTTCAATTTTACCATCGTTACTGAGGATAGGGAGATGTTCCCAAAAACTAAAAATAGTCTTCTATTTTTCGAAGAAGTCGATAGTGGTGTACTTAAAGCCAAGGATACACTAAGGAACAAATATCTAATAAGTTGGGTAAAGTAGCGCGACGTTGCCGGACTTTGGTCGACATGTCTGGCAACATCAACGTCGCTGTGGACTTAAGACGCGCGTTGTCGTCTTATAATAAGTATGTCGCGCGAAATCGGCCGGCTTCGCTCGACATGTCGCCGATGCATATCGTGGGACATTTGTCTCCCCTAGTTGTATCCTTGACTTTATTCGAACTTCTGCATCATTCTAATATTTTTTGATTATCAAAATGAAATCGATGTTTGATACCTAACCGTCACATATGTCGCGGAGAACCTAACGGGTAACCGGGGCTCCGGCTCGACATGCAGGAGAAGGAACGGGGTGGTTTTTAGTCAGTAAGAGTCTGACACTCCCTTCCGCCTCACCCAGACGGGAGCAGTCATTCGATGATTTTCCCCCCTTTAAAAAAAACCGTCACATATTTCAACTTTTTGAAATAGTAACAAAATATTTCAATAATGCTGACGTGTGTCAGTTTGTGGTTTACAACATTGTGTACATACAAAGCTGTCATTAAGTTGTCTGCGTTTGAAATGTTACATTCAGTAATTTTAAATGGGAAGTGGATTGTTATTTATTTAGTCTTCAATGTACACAATTTGATTAAAATGGCACATAATGCGAACTTAATGCCTTAAGGCATTCTCTACCAGTCAACCTTAGGGTTAAAGTAGAAAATCTGCGAAAAATAAGGTACGGAGAATCTGTTGTTATCACAAAATACCTACTTTATAAAACAAGGTAACTCCTACAAACTGTTTATATGACAGAAGTATGTTGCAACGAATAGCAAATCGATTGTCGCAAGTATGAACGCACCTTTATACCATGTACGCCATTTATGAAATCACTAAGCCCGGATAAAAAACCCGATACCCTGGATTTTTGTCATAACTCCCGGGCAAATTAGTTTTTTACCGGAATATTGTCCGGACAGTAACGTCCGGACGTTGCGACAGTTTTTATACCTTTTTCATTGCGTGCCGACGTTCGGATATGAAATTCGTGAAATCCGTTCAATACGTATTTTGAACCGAACTGTCAAAGCGTTAATTAATTTCATTTCAAATTATTTAATCATCATCCAATCACTGAACTCGTTACTGAACTTTCCTACCGACATTTTTCGTAACAGATGTCCCAAAGAACCAATTTGCATTTAGTTCCTCGGAAACAAAACAAACAATTATTTGCAACAAAATGACAATCAAACAATTCAAATTTGTTGGGCGACTTGTAGACTCATAGACTTCAGACTCAAAAGTTTTAATTAAGTAAAGGGAATTTCAGTAAACGACGTTTCAGCCAATTTGTGAAAGTTTTAACGACTGTCAACACTGAATGGCTCGGGACCGATTTAAAGTCGACGGTGATCGATTTAGAAGTGGCAACACTGAAAAAATGGCGGCCCGAGCGGCTGTGACGTAATAGGAAATGGCTTTCGATTAAAAATATCGGACTGCGTAAATACAAGATGGGACTAAGGAAATTGTGATTCTTTGGCCAGAACCTTTAATTTATAATGCAGGATTAGATTACCAGGAAAATATTTGATATTCGTAAGGGCGGTACTTATTTCCACAGTTAATTGAAAATTTCGAGTTCACCCACACAGTCATTCAAATCCTGTGACGTCAGTGTCCAACCAAACTCATGTATAAAAACTATATACACACATACATATAAATATTTAAACAAACAGTCCAAATGTCTCCCGAAACACTTCTAAAACTTCCACATTTCAAGGGAAACTTGCACTGAAAGTTTCAGCCAGCTGAATCTATCTTTCACTTTAAATCAGATATCGGTGTTAGATCCCTGGTACAAGGTGCATACTTGTCGGTGAAATCCCGGGAGTGTTCTCAGCAAGAAA